GGGATCTTCTTATATCTCCCAACATGATTTCTGTGGACATAAATCCCAAAAATTGCCGGGATCAAGGCCGCTAAAGCAAAAAACGAAATGCTTATAATTAAGACGTCTAGACGAATTTCTTTCTTGATTTCTTTGCCCGAACCATTCGGAACTCTTGGAGTCGATGGTGCTGTTGTGTTCACCTTGATAAGAGAAACAGTTGGATTATTCAGCACTCTTCTTCCGTATCTCAATGGAAGCCTTTGCTTTGTGCAGGTTCCATCTTGAAAGAAAGCTGCATCGCAGTTGCAGTCCTCTAAACAGGCTTTTGCACAATCTTCTTTAGCCATTCTTACTAAAACACCATAATTAACGTCTTCCCACACTATGTTATCCAATGATATGATTTCATAACTGACATTTTGGTCCTTGGCTTTACAACCTTCCATGACAAAATTCCTCTCGCATCCTGAGGTCCAATTGCCTGGACTAACACGATCGAATCCCGGAAGACATTCACACTCCGCAACTGTATCCAACTGAATACAATAACCATTCAACCCACATAAACCCAAAGGGCCACATATATCTTCCGAGGGTGACCATTCTTTGGTCCAGTTTCCTTGAGGATCCAACGAGCGATAATATAGTCGAAAAATACCATCAACATCAATTCTCACGAGGTAGATAGTTCTTTTTCGATATTGTCCTGTCGTTAAATTTTTTATAATGGAGCTTCCATTGAACAAATAAAGATGGCCATTATTATCAAGATTCAGTGATACATTATTGCCTGTTCCCATTGTGCCTGATGCGTAGTAAGCATAATTGGGTCCGGAAATTTCCACAGGGTATTGCACCAGGTGCCCATCACCTTGCATCGCGAGACGGAAAATACCTCTGGCAGGGTTCGTTTTCGAAGCACTGGAGACGAGATCCATTCCAGGCGGGAGACGTTGGTCGGGCAAAAGAGTGTCCGTCGGGGAATCAAAACTCTGCCATGTAATCCTACGAGAGGAGTCATACAGCACGAAATTTCCATTGTCAAGCATTGAAGCTGAAACGACTGGCCGGACAGAACTTGCAATATTTATGTCATCTCTGTCTTCCTGCTGCAAAGTGAGCCTTCCATCATTGGTTAATAGCAAATTGGCATTTCTGGGAAAAACGGGATCATCCCTGTTGGCTGTCCACACTACAGTCTTTTCTGGAATCCCAGCAATGAAAACTCCAACAGCATAGCCATTGGTTAGCTTGTAGAATCCAAAGGCATAGAGTCCAGAAGGCGACAACCATGATGAATTTGTACTGGGTTTTAAAGAAGATCCAAGGGAAATATTGGAATATCTTTGTTGCTGGGCTGATACTGCCATTAGTGCAGAAAGAATGAGAAAAGTGAGAAAAGCAGCCATGGAAAATAGGCGTTCCATTTTTCTTGGGATATTGCTTCTTTGTTTCATTGAGGAAGGAAATAGGTGTTATTTGAAGAACTCGGTATCCTCTCTGTATTGACTCGTTTCAGTCAATGCTTAAGATCTATATGGGGATTTACATAAAGTCTTCACTTTTATGGTTTACTTGAATTTTCATTTTATTATCATACTATAAGTTTTGCCCGTGACTTAAAAAAGTCTATATTTGATGAATTGCTCATCAGCTTGTCAATGTCTTTGACTAAGTTTAGAATTAAATGAATTATTCTATTTGGGGGAAATTTAAAAATGCTGAATATTCCATTGCGGGTAAAACACGGCAGAAATTTGGAGTCAGAAGTTTATACATTTGAATTCTATGAGGACCATGTAGTTACAAGTCTTCGTTTTGATAATTTGGTTGTCATGTTTTTCTTCTTAGAAAGGAAGGCTGATTCCTGGAGTTAAATTTCAAAACTTTGTTGGTCAATGTGAACACGATATGGGAGTAAAAAGAAGGGAAGTTTCGATAGGTTCGATAAGGTTTTACTGATGAAGGCCTAAAATTACGTAGTGTATTTGATGTGAGTTTTAAAGAACAAGTAGAATCAGGAATTTTTATGTTTTTAAAATCGACCAAAATTTGCTTGAGAAGGTTGTTACTGTTTGGAGAGGTAAAATCAGGTGATCTGAACTATGCAGTTGTAGTAGAATGTTCGGGGTGTCCCCCTTATTTTTCCATAACCAAAACTCTCTTGTTAGCCTTGTCTTTATTCAAATTGAATATATACAAATTTGATATGAATGACATTCGTGTTTGATTGTCTATCATATGACACTATAACATTGTCCCATTTCGTATTTTTCATATTATAGAGGGAATGCATCCAAATGAATTACAGAAAACCCGAAATAAAATCTTCAACTTAAACTTTAACATCCAAGAAAATGCAAGTAATGTCCATGAATCTGTAACAAGACTGATTAACTGTTCTCATACTCAAATTACCTTCACAAAACCAACAAAAAAGATGAATCAGAATGCAGAAGCTGGGAAAAACATTCTAAATGGAACTTTGG